GAGCGGCCACCAGAAACGACAACATCGACGCCACCCATCAACATCGACGAAGCCGAACTGCCTAGAGAGACCAGGTGCACCCTAGCACAACTCCGTTCTGGGTGGTGCCACAGATTAAACAGCTATCTCTCCCGGCTGAACCCAGAAGTGGCAGACACATGCCCTGCATGCGGGCAAGGTCCACACAACACCCAACACCTCTTCGCATGCGCCTCTAACCCCACGACCCTGACACCAGAAGCACTATGGACCGCGCCTATAGATGCCGCCCGCTTTCTCGGCCTCAGGCTTGTCGAGTCAGAGGACGAAGACGATCCTTGACGAAACCCCGGCGGGTTGAGTACTGCTGCTACAACAACAACAACAACAACCGACAAAATACACATAAAGAAAGAAGCAAAACAGAAATAGCAAACTTCAAAATTACAAACGTCACACACTTTTTTCTCAATTGCTATTACAAATGGATGCTTCTCAACCGGTCAGATCTGTTCTAATTGGTTCATGCTACTTAACCGTCTAGCGCCCTGAGAAGGTAAAAGCCGGTTATTGTCACCCTGGCACCCTGGTTAGACAGACATAGAGCCATTTCAACAATATTAAAATGGACTCTCTGCCCATGTACACATTTGCATTCGCAAAACATTCGTATCATTTGATGCGAATGGGAAGGTCGAATGCAAAAATGTGTAAAATGATGGGAATCATTCGCATAACTAATGCGAATGCAAATATTCGCAACATTCCTGCTTGTAATACGGCACTATATCCAAACACGAACGCGTGTTAAGCAAACAGTGAAACAATTTGTTATTTTCTAAGTTAAATGAACAAGTTCTATCGTTCTTGTTGAATCATGATAGCGCAACGCTCGTAGTTCATGTTCTTTTTCATTTTTATGTACGTATATATAAATGGATGTGGTCGAAGAACAAAAAAAAAAAATCCCACAATTCAAAACTATGGCTGACTTCCAAAACGTATCTATTAGGGCTGTGCGATTAATTGATTACTCAAAATTTTAATTAATCATAACGTAAATAACTCAATTATTCGATTAATTGGAAATTATGATTACTCAAAAGTTCAGTTACTCGAGTAATCAATATTTTTGATTAACCAAAAACAAAAATATTTGAGTAATTTGCTTTATGATTAATCAACATTTCGAGTAAAATGAGTAATCAACATTTCAACTCTTTACATATGTATAAAGTAGTTAAAGTTCCTTGATACTTTGAAAACAACGTTTCTGTTTTCAAAAATTAAAACAAAAATTTTTTTTCATATACAGAATGTAAAAAAGAAAATAAGCATTTTCCAAAGCAAACTCTTTTATCGAGCAAAATTATTGTTTTTGAGTAATCATATTTCAAGTAACTCGATTAATCATCGTTTTGAGTAATCAAAATCTTGATTACTCGAGTAATTGATTAACCGAATAATTGATTAACCAACTTGCTCGAGTAATCGAATAATCGCACAGCCCTAGTATCTATACAATGTTTGGAAACTGTTATACTGCGGTATTCAAACTGTTTATATATGCAGAGTTGCGACACATTGCAACCATATACATTGCATATTTTAAATATTCAATTTAGCAATGAACAATTTTTCTGAATTTTCCATTTTTGAAACACCAATGGTAACCAATAACAAACGAAGCATCAACTTTATTTCTGCGCTGATTGCTATATCGATGCATTTCGATAACTTTCCGGATGCGTTTTGGAAAAGTATACATTGTCAATATTTTGTAGTTTGGCGTTATGGAACATTATACTTTATATACTATAAATACGGTGACCATCCGTCCTTTATTTTAAAGGGCAGTCCTTTATTTTAACCCCCTGTCCTTTATAATTTTTTTCAAAATAAACGACGCCTTTTGTCCTTTAGTTCTTAAACTGTCCTTTAAATCGGCTCTGCATTTTTCAAAGGTAAAGTTTTAAACGCAGAATATGAAAAATAAAAATGTCCCTTATAAAATATATTGAAAACTTTCGCCAGTTTGTTTCGCAAGGTTTATATTTCGCAGGGTTTCTATTTAATCGGTAATCTTTGTACAATCTATAAATCACAGGAAAGTTGTGCCCAGGATTGTGTTACACGCCAGTTCCACTGAAAGAGAACAATAGACATCCTGCTGCACAGTGGTTCAAAACTGGCATTCATTCACTTCATTTTTCGCTTAATTTGATTAATTGTTATTTTTTATGAAAGCTTACAATATTTGCAAGAGGCCAGTTGAGCCTGATTTCTAAATTTTAATTTGATTATATTAAATTTTTTAGTGCAAAATGCACAAAAAGTAGCAGCTTTGAAGAAAATGTATTCTTCTGTTCCAGTTAATAAATGTTACATAACAAAAGCTAGTTGAAAATAATTGTATGGTTCTCCCAAAACAAAAAAATACACAAAAAAAATTTGAAATGTTATAAAAAAATGTTCACCAAAATAAATATTTTTTTTTTGGTTTTTAGTAAAAATTGGTGGAAATATGAAGGCTCCAGTGGATTATGAACATTGAATTCGAATTTTGAACCACTGTGTGCTGGCTTCGTCGTGCAGTATGAATTATGGTAAACGCATTTTGGTAGCAAAGGATGGCGAAGTCCTTGAAAAGGATTTGGCTTCATTTTTCGCTACAGCAGGGGAACTTATACAATTAAATAATATAATTAAATAGTAAATATTTGACTTAAATTACGATATGGGCAAGGTACTTTTATCATACAAGTTGTATGTACGTATTTTCAAATCATTTTGAAAAAAATGTCCTTTATTTTACGTTGGTTAATATGGTCAACGTAACTATATAGCAATTGACGTTTTGGAAGTCAGCCTATCTCACAGCCCGCAATTGAATTTTTAATAGATAGATTAAAAAATAGAAAATGCCAACTTGAAAAGGGTTAAAAGTTATTCATCATTTGAAATTATAGTCGTTGTTCAAAAGAGAGAAAAGTCAAAATCACTTCTACCTTATTTGTGCTTAAGAGCTTATAACTTCCAATTAATTGCAGCTTTTTTGACAGATTACCCATTGAAAATTATGTAAAAAGCTGCAATTAACTTTAGTGTGGTCTTTATTTGGGAAAATCTTCCAATAATGGCCAAGCTTTGAAAAGGAGATGAGGGGGGAAGAGAGAGGGCCAGCCTTATTTTTAAAATCTGAAGGTCCCCGCCCTCTCCGGAGGCTTATAGTTTGCAAGTAATTAGTAAAATTGCAAAAGAAGTAAAATTCAATCTCACTTTTTCCTTTGTAGAGCAATTGAACTCTGCTGCCGCACATCCCAAACAAAAAAATGTTCAACAAACTGAAAAAGGGAAAAATGTAAGCGCATTATGTTTTTATTGCATATCTTCATTATATACCAAAGTATTGCTTTAAAAAAAAAGCGGCGCATGCGAAAATTTCCAGTATATCGTAGTAATGATTTTTTTTTAAGTACCTACATTTTTATTAAAAACTTTCAATACATATTGAAATACTGGATTTAAATATAAGCGCCACAGGCGAAAATATGTAATAAAAAATCACGCGATCTCGCCTTATCCCGGAATTTAGTTGAAGAACGCCCTATCTCAGCTTATTTTCAATGTATTTTCGTTTGAGATAGGGCGTTTTTGAACCGAATTCTGAGATAGGGCGTTATTCAACCAAATTCTGAGATGTAGACTATCGCCCTGTGAATGCCGTTCTAGGCACATAACCACCGGACGTGGACAGAACAGAACTTTGTCTGCCTCGGGAGACTAGCACTACAATAGCCCAACTTCGCTCTGGCTATTGCAGCAGGCTCAACTCTTACTTGAGTAGAATCAACGAGGATGTGCCCAACCAATGCCCGGCATGTGGAGAGTCGCCACATGACTCCCGGCACCTCTTCACATGCCCTAAGAACCCCCCCACTAAGCTAACGCAACTGTCCCTATGGACAGCCCCTGTGGAAGTCGCACACTTCCTGGGCCTCCCCCTAGCTGAAACTGACGACAACGCTGATGGATGAACCGCCCCGAACGGGGCTTATTAGCTGCTACAACAACAACAACATAGTGTTTTTCAATAAAATTCTGAAATAGGGCGTTTTTCAATCGAATTCTGAAGTAGGGCGTTCTTGAAGTTTTCTGAGATAGGGCGTTTTTGAACTGGCTGCCGAGATAGGTCGATCTTCCACTCAGCCATCGATATACTTTATATTTTGTAATGCCTCACAAAGTATTTTTTGGTATAGTTCCCAAAGATCTGGAATTACATACTTCGCAGTTATCGCTCAACAATTGTGTGTTTACAGATTCTTTGCGAATAGAAACTTATTTAAAGAACTCTTTTATAAGTATTAATTGTTAAATATTTATTAAAAAAAGATGTGCATTCATTCGTTTATGAAGAAAAGATGATATATTAATGAAAAGCAAAGTGAATAGTGCAGTGTTTATAAAAAATATGTGAAGTAATGCGGAACGGCCGCTGTGGTGTAGTGGTAAGCAGTGCGCGCTTTCACCTTTCAGCACCTGGGTTCAAGCCCTAGTCAAAGCAACATCGCTAAAAAATATAGAAAAAAGGTTTTTTCTTAACAGCGGTCGCCCCTCGGCAGGCAATGGCAAACCTCCGAGTGTATTTCTACCATGAAAAACAGCTTCTCATAAAAATACAATCGCCGTTCGGAGTCAGCGTAAAACTGTAGGTCCCTCCGATTTGTGTGATAACATCAAGGCGCATGCCACAAGTCTGAGGAGAAACTCGGCCAAACATTAACATATGTGTAAGCGCCAATCTATAATGGGGAAATTTTAACAATAAATAACTTTAAAACTGTTGCCATTTCTACCCAAAATGTTGAAGGTATCGCTCAATGAGCACTTCCTCAACACCCCCTGCGAATTTCATTAAAAAATTCGCTATACTTTGCCCGATATAGAAAATGGTCCATTATTGGAAATCTCAGCAGTTGAATCATATTAATTCCTTATTAATAGAATAGTTAACTCACCATGAATTTTGGTCATTTTATTTTGGTCCGCCTGGTCCACAAATTTTTCGCTAATGAGCTTCTTGGTTTGTGGCACGAATGTATCGAAGTCTTCGCAACGCTGTCGCTTGAGCATGTTTATAACGGGAGTTTAAAGCGCAGCTTCACCAAAAACTTGTTTAATCGCCGGCAAAAGTTTTTTTAAAATATATTTTTTTTTGGGTTTTGGGTTGGTTGGCAGGATCTTAAATTCCCCAAACGCCAGGCTGTCCCTCCTTGACCGTATTTATTCCTCTTGGTGCTACAGGATCATGTAGCTAGTGCATTTTTAATATCGACAAGTTGAGTGTAACTAAAAATGTCAAAATATTGGAATTATTTTACGTGAACGCCAAAGAACAATAAATAACTAAAGCTGAAATTAGTCAAGAACGTAAACCTACCGGTACGTAAACCCGAGACAGCTGACACGATCTGTCTTACCAAAGCACCATGTAAATGAAAACTCAACACCGCAGAATTTTTCTGTAGTTGTAGCCCATGAACGAAAGTCTTTTTGGTTCATGGTTGTAGCCCATGATTCAATATACAGGGTATATATATACAATATACAATATACAGGGCATATATATACGTATATGATATGTGTATGTATACGCGGATATGTAAATAAAGCAAAACAGACGATAATTTGATACAAGCGTGTTCATAAGAAGAAGCGTAGCTTCTATCGCTATCCCCTGTAATTGATGCGCCTTGGGCAAATCCCACCAAAAACGATCAGCTGTTCAGCACAAAATGTAAACAAAGAAGGGAATGCACCAACAATAGGTGCAATCCCGTATTCCTCGGACTCGGACTAGTAAAACTGTCAAAAAATAAAAATTCGCTCAGAGCGAGAGAGTAACATTGAAAGGTACGGGATCGCTTTCTAGTAAAAAATGGCAACTTCTGTCAACTTCAAAATAACCTCCAAATTTTGGTTGTAAATTTTCCTTATTTTGTATGTAAACACACTCATCTCACACATGTAAATAACTAAAAATACTTTCAAATTCATTACAATCCACTTAAACAAGTAATTAAATACTTTTCAACATGAATTAGCAGATTCAACTTTTCTTTGTTTACAATTTGGTTGCCAAACACACTACAGCTGATCGTTTGACACATTTACCAGAATTTACCAGCAAAAAATTCTCGGACTAAAATTGGTAACTTCTGACAGAGAGAGAACCGTATTTACTCTCTTTTCTGTCCTCTCAATAGTCAAAGAACCGAGTACGGGACCGATTTCCAGTAAAATCTGACTGATTCTGACTATTTCTGACTAGTCCGGACTCGTACGGGATCGCAACTAATTTCAAGGAAAAAGCAGCAGTGCTGCCAGTTGTTTGGCATATTTAAACAAAGATGATATGAAACCCAACGAAAGCTAAATGGCATTTAAACAACAAGCCACAAATACACTTAAGTGCCATTTCAACATAATGCAATAACACAAGGTGGTATCAGTTGTGATAACCCGATTTGACACTGTGGACGGGAAGAAAATAATCCCCATTAGGGGGAAAAATATAAAATTTCATATTTTCTTCTAAACAAAATTTGCTTTCTTATAGCATATTCGTAATCAAATTAAATAAAATAAGATAAAATACCTTTTCAAGAAAACAAAATGTGTATACTGAGAGAAAATAAAAAACCTTCAACTATATTATTAGGCAAAGAATCGCTCTAACCCTGCAAAAATCGCGACTACTCCATGCATGCGTGTAAAGAGTACTCCCTAAGGACCAAAGAGTACTCCAAAATTAACCACAATTCATATAAAAAATATGGTCCAATTAACATTGCGATGTCCTAGGGCAGGACCATATACTCCATCCCTGCATTACATCAGAGTAGCACAAAACTACTCCAACATATTAACAATGGCATTGTTGTTATATTTTTTCGTTTGTACACGCTTTTGTTCTTCACTTCTCAAATGCTTTTTCGAAATTAATAAAAACCAAGACAAAAATTAAAAATTACATGTTGCCTCTGACGGTATTCGAACCCGAACATGCTGGGAGCTAAGAACTAACAGCGAGCATCTCTACACGTTCAGCTACAGCCAGACATGCAAATGTGCTTTCAAATGCTCAACTTCAATCACGTTTCGTTAAAACACGAGCAGTGATCGGATAACAAACAATAAGCTGGCGCAGAGACACGAGTTGGTCCACTACAGCATGACAGAGGAACACTTTTGTAAGTACTCCAATTTACCACAAATAGACTACATGGTCCAACGATTTTTGCAGGGAATTCCGCCATATTGACTGCCTTAGGCGAAACAGTGCCACTTCTTTAACCATTCTTTGCCTAATAATATAGTTGATTTTTTTTTATTTTTTCTCAGTATGCATATTTTGTTTTCTCAAAAAGGTATTATATCTTATTTTATTTAATTTCATTGCGAATATACTACAAAAAAGCAAATTCTGTTTAGAAGAAAATATGAAATTTTATATTTTTCCCCCAAATGGGGATTAATTTCTTCCCGTTTTTCTTCTTATTCTACTGAGCTAAGGCAGTGTCAAATCGAGCTGTTACAACTGATACCACCTTGTATTATTGCATCATGGTCAATATGGCGGAATTAGAGCGAGAAGCTGCCAACCGATAACACCTTGTATTATTGCATCATGTCATTTCAATATTCATTTGAAATTGGCCCCAACTCTGCTTTAGTTAAAGAAAAAGGTGAAATAGTGGTGATGTAAACAAATGCTCGTCTGACGAACCCACTTTAACAAACTTTTTTTCCCAAAATCAGTTACAAAAACAACGTCACGGTTTTGCGTGATCTTGTATTTTTGGTTCATGACGGGTATATCGATTGTGACCCAGTTTTAGTACCAAGTTTTGAATTTTTGCATAAACGGTTACAAATTGTTATTGCGTCACTATATTTAACAACAAATAAATATTCGAAAAGCACAAAAGGGAATACCAAGAAATGTCGAAATACAAGAAAGAAATTAAATAGCTCGCAGCGACGCAACGTCAACTTGCTGCTGCTGTCGTTGCTGCCTTTTGCTCCATCAGTCTTCAAGCGATGCAATTGCAAGGTATCTAGTGGAGAAGTCGGTTGGATTTGTGGTTCGGAACGTTTTAATTCTCATTATTTTCGTCTTGGCTTTGGGTTTTTTAAGTTTTTTCGCGCTTCTCATACATATTTTGTTGCCAAACAGATTATGCGGGCGATGTGAAACGGGGATATTGTGCTATAGCAGTGAAATTGTGGTAATTGCAAAACAATGGAATGTACTACGTAAACCCAAGAAAGCAGTTGCGGAGGTGGTGGCGGCAATGAACCTATAGAAATATATAGAAATAGCAAATACGATTCGAAGTGAAAATGAAAGAAAAGTGAATTGAAAATGCGTACGTATGCTAAAACCATATATTTAATACTTACATATATTCATGGCTAAAACCAAACAATGAAGTTGGAGATTAACATTTTAAATCAGTATTTATATAACCTTGTGGAATCGAAATAAAATATATTCAAGTCGAATTGAACGAGTTCTCTTCAGTACAAAATGCATGGAATGCGGGTAGCAGAAGTCAGTCGAACTTTGTTATTTATTCTAATTGTAAGTGCATCGTTGCATTGTAGAATACAGGCCACTGCTGTAAACAATGAAGAGAAAGTTGGAGGGGATGGAGCTTCTTCCACGGACATGTTAGAAGCCAGTGCATCACCAGTTGCTACAGATATGACTACAAATATGCCAACGGTATTATCACGAATACCACCGCCGCAAGTGATAGTGAACAAATGTTGTAGATACAATGAGCACATGAATTTTAATCAAACGTGTGTTATGGGAAATTCGGAGTTATGGGTACCAATGATATTTCTAATAAGTAGAAGACGGTATTTTACACCTCAAGGTGGTAAGCCCAAATTTATGATATTCCAAGAGAATGTCCTTCCAGTAGTAGATGATTACAGTATTGAATCAATGCAGGACATGGGTAAAGAACAAAACGGCAAATGTACGTCAGAAGAATTGGAGTTTTTCTCAGCAGGTGGAAACTATTTATTATTTTCAAATGGTTCCTTATTTTTGGGTGAACGCAAGCAATTTATCGAGCCACAACGCTATTGTGTTGACCGAAATGGCGTGCTCGTCTGCTTTCCACGAGAAAGAAATGGAACACAAAGAATAAAGGTAAAAAAGTGTTGTGGATGGAACGGAATTTATGACTCTGCAAAAAAGCAATGCACGTTTCCGGGCGGCAGTGGTAATCCTAATATAAACCCTCCTGCGGAATTGCCATTAAATTCAAGTTTATACGAGACAATATACGGCTTTCCTACATGTCACCAAAAAACTGTACCATACGCTATTGCCGGAGATTGGCATGAAAGTCAAATGGATGTGGAGAATGGAAATCTTAAGCTGACTCATAAACAAATATCTACTAGCGATTATTGCCTTGAGCATTTGCTCGAAAACGATGCAATTGCTGCAATTAAAATATTTACTTGTCTTCACCACTTCTCCACTGAAGCTCCTGCCAATGCTATTGCTGCGGTAGGTAGCACCACTAGTGATAGAGTACAAGTGGCCGCCCTCAATATAGGAATTGTCATATCAGTCGTCTTCCTTTCAGCCACATTGGTGGCTGGATACATGATGCCCTCCGTTCATCATATGTTACATTGGCGTTGTCAGATTTATTACGTCTTTTGTTTGGTTGTGGGAGATTTGATACTCGCCTACACACAACTGTCACGGACACTCCAACACGGCTCATTCACCTGTTTACTTTTAGCCAGTACAATGCACTTTTTCTTTCTTTCGGCTTTCTTTTGGCTTAACACAATGTGCTTCAATATCTGGTGGACATTTCGCGATTTCAGGCCGAGTTCACTCGAACGCAATCAAGAGTTGCTACGCTTGCGGCTTTATTCGGCGTATGCTTGGGGCATTCCGGTGTTGATAAGCGCTATTGCTTTCACTGTAGATCATTTGCCCGAAACACAATTACTGCGCCCCGGCTTCGGCGAACGTAGTTGTTGGTTTAGCGGAGAACATTTATCCATATTTGCCTATTTCTTTGGACCTATTGGACTTTTACTGTGTGCCAACATCATGCTTTTCATATCAACAACACATCAATTGACATGCGGTTTGTGGAAGCGTGACGATGTCAAATCGACCACTGAGAAGACTGCACTGGGGAAAGTATGTTTGAAGCTAGTCGTGGTAATGGGTGTCACCTGGATAGCTGATGTGATTTCTTGGCTAGTCGGTGGACCGCATTCGGCTTGGTTCTTCACCGATATGATAAACGCTTTGCAGGGTGTATTCATTTTCATTGTAGTGGGATGTCAACCACAAGTATGGGCCGCTTGCAAGCGTTTTTGCTGTCCACGCTCACGTCAAGAGATTACAAACACAACCAACGGTGTCCAGCATTCAAGTTCATCGCAAGGTCTTCCATCAGTCGGTGGATATGCTGGTGGTGAAGTCACGCAGAACACCACTGTTAATACTACGACAATTGGTGGAGGCCAGTTGCAGACTCAAACGAAGATACCAATGGAGACAGTATGTTAAGGTGAGTTTGACGTTGATTTAATACATTCGTGTGTCTATTTGAAAACACGATTGCAAATCAAAGAAAATATTAGTTGTGTTCGATAACAAAATTAGCCAACACTAGCCAACAATCAAAATCAAGAGCGTAAGCGAATATTCTCCCTCAAAGATAAGAAAAAGCAAAAATGTAATGTAACCAAGGCATATCAAACAGGTAGTACCGGGCATGATACAAAAAACAAGGTAGTTCCATTATCATTTTTTCGTCGCCATATTAACAACCTGACAATCATGATACAAAAAAGAAGATAGTTTCATTTAATGACATTCCTTGTTGGTGTTAACCTTTTGACTTTTGATAAAATTATGACATTTCATCAAATTCATGCTACCTGATCACTACAAGAAATATTTTTTTTTAGCAGAAACTAGAAAATTATGCCGGCTACTTGATTTCGAAAATGGGGTTGACGAATAGGTTTCAGAAAGCACGAAGAAAGTGCATACTTACACATCGTCGCTTAAAGTACAAAACCGCGTATCGTCGTTCTGCAAAACCGCGTAACTGACATTTTTTGCCAAAAATTGGATTTGCTCACACAAGCTCTTGGCTCAAGCCCAGTGTTGCCAGGCTTACGTTTTTAACGTCATTTGGACGTTTTTTTGTATCCTGTTGACGTTTGGACGTTTTTTGTGTAAAAAATTACGTTTTTTAACTTCCTAGTAATTTTTCTCTGTTACCAAATCCTGTAAGTTGAACTGATTTTGAATTATTTTCCTAATAAATCTTTACAAGCTTTGTTTTTTGCAGCAGCTGCTTCAAAAAATATTTATTCTTTGGACACAGATGACTTAACCCTTATTTAAGTGAATAAAGAAAATGACAATTAGTCGCATGGGGCTTCTTATTGAAAATGTAATGAACGTAAAAAGTCTGAAATATGGCTATGTTCCTTTTTAACAGAACGTAATTTAGCATTTTCGACATCCGACCACCTAACCAAATGTCTACAAAAAATTATATTAAAAATCAACGCGATTCTTTAGCACCTTAAAACTTGCACATTATTGCCCTGTAATTTAATGGGCAAACAACGTGCATACTCAAAAAAATTCTAAAAAATCTAAATAAAAAGTTGAAAATCTAGCTGAAATTTTGCAAATTTTTTATGATTTTTGCACAAAGTTTGAAATGTGGATTTATATTTTGTTTGTTATACAATGAGCTAGGCTTTTATGGAAAAATAACAAACATAAAATAAACAAAAAAGAAATAGCCAAAATCGATGATTTAATCAGCTGATCACAAGTGTATGTATAAAATGATTTTTATTTTAACGATCTCAAACCAGTTTAGAATGAATTTTAAATGCGACAGAGCAAATAATATTTTAATATGCCTTACGTACATATGTACCTTTGTTTACATTTGAAAAAGACATTTTGGGTAGGAAATGACATTTTTTCAGACCAAGAGGGACGTTTTCCGATGACCTGGCAACACTGCTCAAGCCTTATCCATTCGTCCTGAAATGCGAATTCTTTGTAAAAAAGAGAACCATTTTGAGATATGAGTGTTTTTCTTCTTCTTTATTGGCGCTGTAACCGCCTAAGCGATTTTGGCCGAGTCCAAAACAGCACGCCAGTCATTTCTCTTCTGTGCTAACTGACGCCAATTGGAAATGCCAAGTGAAGCCAAGTCCTTCTCCACCTGGTCTTTCCAACGCAGAGGAGGCCTTCCTCTTCCTCTGTTACCAGCATCGCGGCCCGCGTTGAATATTTTCAGAGCAGGAGCGTTTCTGTCCATACGAACGACATGGCCAAGCCAGCGGAGCCGCTGAATTTTAATTCGCTGCACTATGTCCATATCGTTGTAAAGCTCATACAGCTCATCGTTAAATCGTCTGCGATATTCGCCATCACCAACGCGTAAAGGTCCGTAAATCTTTCGGATAATCTTTCTCTCGAAAACTCTAAGAGCCGCCTCATCAGATGCTTTCATTGTCCATGCCTCCGCGCCATACACCAGCACAGGCATGATGAGTGACTTATAGAGTGTGATCTTTGTACGACGAGAGTGGACTTTACTTCTCAATTGCCTACTCAGCCCAAAGTAGCACTTGTTGGCAAGAGTGATTCTCCGTTGGATTTCAAGGCTGACATTATTATTAGTGTTAATGCTGGTTCCAAAATAAACGAAGTCGTCTACTTTTTCAAACTTGTAACTGTCAACAGTGACGTGGGTGCTAAGACGCGTATGCTCTGACTGTTTGTGTGATGACAGGAGATACTTCGTTTTGTCCTCGTTCACCACCAGACCCATTCGCTTTGCTTCTCCAGGGTGGGCAAAAACTCGGAGTTCGAGCGAGCGAGTGAGCAAACTCCTACTCAATGCCTCGCAGACAACGAGGCACTCGCAGCTCGTACTCGTAGCAGCAATGAGGCGAGGCACGAGAAGTTTGGCTCGCTCGCGCTCCTATAAAAATGTGGGAATGTATGTCAATAGATTATGTACGAAAGTATGTTAATAATTGCATGTACATATGCATATATATATGTGAAGTATTATATTAGGGCAGCATTTAAAACAACAAATAAAATTGATTACATACATAAGCATAGATTATGGAATGAATTATTTTTTAGAGTTATATTCATACATGTGTACACACATAACATGCGTATTTATATATGTTTGTATGTACGTATTTATGTATATATGCATTTATATATGTATGTACATATGCATGTATTTTGTCTTTACAGAGAAAAGTAAGTAACGAAGATATTATAATCGTTTGTGCCGCAGAAACAAAAAACAAGTAAGCACTTGCTAACACCCCCAAAATAGTTTTCTACTTGTAGCAGTTATGCTGTATACCTGAATGACATATAGTCCTTGGTGAAAAAATTTATTTGTGGCCTGTTGTTCAAGGACATGTGTACATATGTATGCATGTATATATGGATATGTAGACATGGGAAAATTTGCGTAAACAAAGAATAGAGACCGGTTCGCATACAACTTTGGCGTTGCGTTGGCGTCGAATCGCCAGCTGTTGCAAATAAATAAAATTAAATGAAATGTTTTTTCCTTTTAATCAAATGAAGGCAAGAAATATATTTTTCATGCTATTATTGATATGAAATATTAATTTATTTCTCGTTAATATGTTAATTTAGTGGCCAAAGTAGTCTCTGCCAAGCTTCATTGTAGAACGCATACTTTTAACGTGCGTTCTGTCAAACCAACGCCAACTACAAAGTCAACGCGAAAGATCTATGTGGACCAGCCTTAATTATCAAATAGTAGTTTGTATTATCCTACATACATATATATGTATGGGGCTAAACCAGGAATATTCATTTGAAAATGCTGATGTCCTACTTATTTATGAAATGAAAGACAAAATAATGATTTTTATAAATATTATGTTCTCATTTATACATATGTAACATAGTTACTTAGTCAAATTACTTAGTAATTACTTGTATGTAAGAATACAACAACAAATTATTTATCAGAAGCATTGCCCCTTGCATATTGAAAAAAAGTAATAAAAGCTCTCAAAAAAGCAAAATCGCTACAGCGAAAAGTGTTTGAAAACTCGCATAAATTCAAATCCGCATAAAAAAGAACCACATAAAAAGAGACCTAAGTGTTTAAGTTGAAATTTTATAAGCTATTGAAAATTAAAAAAACTATACCTACATATACTACGTTTATACGTAAGCTATTTGCGAATAAAAATAATTTGCAAATACCTAACTCACTGTTTATTCGATGGTGAAAAATTCTTTTTTAATATTGCCTGATTATAAAAAGGCAATAATATGACAATCGAAAAAGAAAATAAAGTTAAAAATGGCAACGTCTTGATTATAACAAGGCAATAAGATGACAATCGAAAAAGAAAATAAACCTAAGAATGGCGGCGTCTTGCGCTTATTTGCAAATAGTAGCACTAATCAATACATATTTGCGTGATTTAGTTATTTGCAAATAAAAAGTTAACTCAGCGTTTATACGGCAAATTTTACCATTTTGCAAATTGTTATTTGCGAATAATACGTGCGTATAAGTACATAGTAATATATATGTATGCACATATGAGCCTACCTAGTAGATAAAACTGGCAAAAATAGCACGCATCTATTCTTCTGTGCATGAAAATATATACATAAATAAATACATACATATGTGTATATATGTATGTATATACATATCTACATGTGTGCATACAATCGTTTGCTCTAAATTCTTAGTTGATGCAATTTTTATCCCATACATTTTTGCTGGCCAAACAACCCGTTTGCCTGTCTAATCTGCTTGCCTCATTTGCCTCGCTCATTTACTCGCCTCGCTCGTCTGCTGCTGCAAATGAGTGCCTCGCTCGCAACGCCCCTCTCGCGAGGGCAGACCTAATGAGGCCCTCGTTTGCTTGCCGCTCTACTCTTGCGCCGCCCTCGTTTGCTTACTCGCTCGCTGGCTACTCGTCGCGTGCGCTCGTACCTAACGAGTGCTCATTTGCAAACAGCCTCGCGTGTTCCTCGTGAGTTGCGCTAACTCAGAGCAAACTAACGAGCGAGCGAGTGGCCAAAATGAGGCAAATCCGAACCCTGTGCTTCTCTATACAATCCCGAGAAGGCAGAACAGGCGTAGCCCTTGTTTTTACCGATAAAATCGATGTCGTCGGCATACGCCAGCAATTGTACGCTCTTGTAAAGTATTGTGCCTGAGCGGTTCAGTTCTGCGGCTCTTTTTATCTTCTCCAACATCAGATTAAAGAAATCACACGAAAGGGAGTCCCCTTGTCTGAAACCTCGTTTGGTATCAAACGGCTGGGAGATGTCCTTCCCAGTTTTGACGGAGCTGGTGGTATTGCTCAACGTCATTTTACACAGCCGTATTAGTTTCGCGGGGATACCAAATTCAGACATCGCGGCATAAAGGCAAATTCTCTTCGTGCTGTCGAAAGCGGCTTTGAAATCGACAAATAGATGGTGTGTGTCGATCCTATTCTCGCGGGTCTTTTCCAAGATTTGGCGTATTGTGAATACCTGATCTATGGTAGATTTTCCAGGCCTAAAGCCACACTGATAAGGTCCAATCAGCTCGTTAACGGTGGGCTTAAGTCTTTCGCAAAATACACTTGATAAGACCTTATAACCTATGCTTAGAAAGCTGATTCCGCGGTAGTTGGCGCGTATGGCGTTGT